ATTTTGTTACAAAGCAAGAATAAAAAAAAACTTTATTATTCATTACAGTGGCTCCTTAATGAGTGACAGAGATGATGTACTGCAGAGCTTGAGTCCAGTGCTCAAGATGTCTCCTGAAAACCTGACCTAGCAACCTGATGGAGGGCAGGAACTCATCTAGGAGTTGGATCCTGTTACAGAGCAGGGATCCAAATAATTTGCTTCATAAAAAATGCCATGATAGACCTGGAAGTGTTACTGACACCTGCTCATCCCTCTCCCTGCAAGAACTCCACTGTCTGAATTAAGCTGAAAAAAATACTAGTTAAATTTGCTGGCCTTAAAGCAATGAAGGATTAATCTGCAGTTTTCTCTTCTTCATGTCTTCAATGTTTTAAGATTTTAATGTCTCACATCAGAATGACTTTACCATGGAGTGTAAGCTTTTAGCTTCCCTGTCAGCATTCCATGTGCATCCCTATCTCCTTGGCCAGCTCTACAATGGTGTCAGAGTCCTTCCCATCATTCCAGCCTCACCCCCTGCATTCCACTAACATTTCTGTTCTACAGGATCAGGAAGAAATGGTGCAAAGCCCACTTTACACCTTCAAGTAGAGATTGCAGGGAATAACCAGCTGCAGAAAGTATGTAAAATACAGGACTAACATCCTCACTCCAAGAGGTGCCTTATGATTGTTCATGTTGCAGCACTGGGAAACTGGTTGCCCTGGATATAGAAGGTCTGCCTAGCTTAAAAGACAGGGAATTCTGATGAAACAAAAGCTTATGCCTCTTTTGAGAGGATTTTGAAGGTATTGGGACCTTGCAGTGCTTGTGTCTACAGTGTTTAAGTGTCAATTCACAGCCTTACAGGAGGAGGCACCAACTACTTTAAAACTTCTAATTCCCTGACATTTTCATATCTACATGTGATCACCAAAGTATATATAACCCAGCCCAACACTCAGGCACCAAAATGCTTGTGTCCAAGAGGTCTGTCAGGGATGCTCTGTGAAAAACAACTTTAATGTGTTGTATTTATACAAGCTTTTAATCTGTGTTAATCCTCCTGGTTCACACTGTAACAATTAAGCAACATTTTCCATGCTAACTTAGAATCTTTTTTGATTTCCAAGCAGAGATCTAATTTCTTCAAAAGCAGAATTCTTGCCTTCATATGGGAAAGAGCTCCAGGAAGAAAATGAAACTTTCCTGGAGAAGTGGAAGGTGAATAATGAGTGGAAAACTTTCTAAATTAGCATTACTTGGCACAGGAGACTGCAAAAACATCCTTGGCTGGCATCCATCCCCAAATGGTAGAATAGAAAGAGCAGAATACAAGGGAAAAACTTCCTCTTTTTCTCTGTGTTGGTCTTGGTGTGTTAGAAAGACAAATCCTTGAACATTTTTTTCCCCTTGGCAACTTTGAGTGTAACTTTCCCCTTGATAAAGAAAAATCTTGCCTGCTGTTCTGTTCTGATGAGAATAACTGCAGGGCCATGAGTTAAATGCCAAGCCCTGTGCTTTTCTGACCACTTTGTATTCTGCTCAGTAACTTGGGCCTTTCAGAGCTATTTTAATATTGCAGACCCCTCAGCAGTTTCAAAGGTTATGCTTTAAAGTGTGTTCAGGGGGAAAAAAAACCCAAAAATTCAGACTGGTCTGTCACAAAAATATTTTCTCCTTTCCTTCCTCATTTCTTTTCCCACACATTCACCCATCCCATCCTCTAAATTACTAGGACATGGTGTCCATGGCAGGTTGTGTCAAACCTCATCTGACACTTTCTAGGTGCTTTTCTGTGGCTCTACAGAGATGTAGGAGCTGCCTGAGACTGGAAGTGTTCCAGCAGGGTGTTCAATTTGTTTTGACAGCTCTTAGATCCAGAGGCCTTTCAGATCATAGAGATTTTATGCACAGAAAAATCAGTTCCAAGTATATTTCAGAGGTGCTTTTAAGTGTTTGGTGACTATTTTTTTTCTTCCTGAACTCTGCTGATTTTTGATTCATAAGTTGGCAGACAAAGGGCCCCAGTAAAATGGTTTAAAACTTCCTCTTGATAATTTTAGAGGTTTTCCTCTGTCATATGGAAGGCTTGCACAAAATAGATGATGGTGCAAGCCACTTTTGTGGTCTTATTTATAGTCCTCTGGGGTCTTCTACATCACTAATAAACACAGTAGTGAACTGCACTAACCCTGAAACAAATCTCATGTGTTGTATTTATACAACATCTCAAAAACTTGAGAGAAAACCTGCTCTGGTTGTGTGTCTGAACACCTGGCAGAGCTCTTTGAGAAGCAGGTTTCAATGAGAAGGGGTTACCTGCTTAGCCAGGGTTATTTCAGACTTTCAGCCTGAAAATACCCAGTGGGGACAGGGCTGTGTGTAAAGAAATTCTGACTGGAGCCATCTGGATCTGCCAGACAGTGCAGCCCAGGCAGGGGCTATGGTTCATGCCTGCAGCTCTACAGGACAAGGTGTATCTCCTGTCTGTAGCTGCAGAGCAGATTATTGGTCAAAAAAAGATCTAAAAATGAAATCTCTTGGATGTAATAGCCTAGCACAGATTTTCCCAAAAGAAAGGAAGGGTTTCAAGGTCCTTAGCCAGAGGGTGGCAGAAAGAAATGTGAGGTCCCTTAGGAAGTGTAGTAGCCTCCAACAAGGAAAACATCCTTTTATGGCTTCTTCTCTGCTTTACAATATAAAATTTAATCAAAAACCTGTTGATTTCAGCTCTGGATGGCTTCAGTTTGGTGCCTGGTACCACTGAAGGCTTTAGTAACTTGGGTAACCTGTGATTTTGCTGCTCCTCACTTCTAGCAGGAATCACCTTGGGGATCACTGCTTGAAAACCAGATTTGAATTCAAATAAGACCAGTCTGAACATGACACCTGAAAGATGCTGGGCCAGGGCTTGAAATGGACCTAGGCACCCTCTGAAAGATCTTTGTTTCCACCTTTCTGGCAGCAACCCACATTGGTCCCTGGTGATCTGTGTTATGAAGGATCTTACTGGGAATCCCTTGAGCAGCTATCTGTCCACAGGCTGATTTATTTAATACCCTCCATATCCTATGTGCTGAGTGCCTCCTGTGCTGCCCAGCACCTTGGAGCAGATGGAGTAGCACCACCCACAGCTGAATTTTCAGAATTCACCTGCTGGAAGCTCTTGGGGCAGCTGCTGAGTTCTTTCCCAGTTGCATGTAAAATGCAAGTAATAACAAAAACCTCTTGTGAGTGGATGATTTTGTACAGAGGAAAATGTTAACAGGGCTTACAGGTGTGAAAAGGCTTCTGGAAGAGCCACATTCACCACAGAGGGACCAAAACTTCCACTCACATCCATGTTTTATTGGAGTGATGCTGTTACAGTGCATTCCCAGTTTCACATAAAACAAAAACCTCTTGTGGGTGTCCAGGTGATCATTTTGTACAAGGGAAAAGGTTAATGGGGTTTACAGGTGTGAAAAGGCTTCTGGAAGAGCCACATTCACCACAGAGGGACCAAAACTTCCACTCACATCCATGTTTTATTGGAGTGATGCTGTTACAGTGCAGTATGAGGGGCACCTCCCCAGACAAGACAACACACACTGTCCCCGAGCACCTCTTCCCAAAACCCAGCCACACCAAAGCCCTGCTGCGTGCTCCAGAGGTGGAAGACAATACTTTTGGCTTTATGTTAGGAAAGAGAGGAAGCCTTTCCTGGTTGGAGGAGCTGTGGCACAGACACACACAGTTACACCTAAAGCTGTCGAGCAAGCAGGGCTGAGGGCACAGCTCAGCCTGGTTTGGGGAGGGAGAGCTGGAGCCTCTCATCCAGTGCAGTGAGGGAGGGAGATGAGAGTCCTGTGTTGAGCCTGTCCCAGGCCAGGTTTGTCTGGGTAAGGAGGACATTAGAGTGAGACCCACCTACATGGCATTCCCTGGTGTTGCCATCCAGGAACTCCTGGAGATGGCTTTGTGAAACACTGCCAGCAAAATGAGCCCGTGGCAGGGCTGTATTTGGCCAGCTCCTGGAAGCTGGGATGTACAGATACCCCATGAGCTGACAGGTATTTTGGCTAGGAAAGTCCTGGCTCTGATCCCTTCTTGCTGGGAGGGATGCTGCTGAAGTGGCTCTCCCCAGGGCATGGGCTGTAACAGGACAAACCCTTCATCCAGCAGTGCTCCCGATGAGGAGAGGAGCACAGATGGGGATTGGTTCTCAACAGACCACCACCAAACTTTGAGACAGGGTGCAAGCAGCCTGACCCAGCTGAAAAAAACAGGCTTGAAGCTATTGCAGGCGTGGCTGGAGCTGTCCTAGGCCTCGTTCATCATTTGGTGGCTCCAGGAGATGACTGAATGTGTGGTAGTTAAGTGGTGGTGAATCCATTGGTGGTCCTGGGGTTTGGGAGAGAAGGGGGACAGTGATAGTGCTGCACTTCTCATGAGAGCTGCCCTCCCAGCCACCTCTCTGCCTTGCAAGGAGCAATAAAACACGAGCTGGCAGCACAGGTTAAAAGTGACATTGGCAACTGGGGCAATTTTCTCAAGCACTGAGACCAACTTGGTTTTTTGGGCAAACCTTTCGATGGTTTGACAGCGAGGTCATCGTTTCTCCATCAGCACTCTAGCTTTTGGCTTCCTTGCCAAATTTTTGCTCTTGACTCTTGATTGATCAGGATCAAAGAGGTCATTTTCTGCCTTCTGATTAGTCCTGGGCGTGAGCTGAGTGTCTTCTGCAGGCTGGGGCTCCAGCAATGGGAGGCTCTTCCACTGCATGCAGAGGGAAGGAAGGGGCCCATCCCTCAGCCGGGCCCCTCACTCA